TGATCATCTTAGGAAGATCTTCCCTTTACTATTGGGAGGTTTTACATACCAGGGAACTTTGAGAGTCAGTTTGCCTATGGTGTGGCTCAGAGAGTTACCTTTTATTATGATGCACCCAGTTTTGTTTTGTTTTGTTTTGTTTTTTTTTTTTTTGAATGATGCACCCAGTTTTATGGAAACAGTTGGTTACAGAAGCCAGATTTTTAGTAGGACCCTGAATTTTGTTCATTCAAGTCAATGGTGGTATGGTCATTGGGGAATCATTTTCTCCTTTGGGCTAGAGGTCAAGCTTGTACTTTTCTCTTAAGCAAGTAAACAGAATTAAACTGAGGCCTCACACCTTGAGCTCATTTATTTGAGAAACTAAAATATAATAAATTGTCCTAATTCAGCAGTGTGTATTACTTTCTTTTGAAATGTTGCCTTTAGGTGTTCACTTCATTTCCTGACCTATGACAGGATCCTTTCATGGGAAGATAAAAGCTGTGGACTATTTAAAAGGAAACTACCTAGAAAATAGGAGACTAATAATACATAATAAATAACCCTGGTCAATAACCTTAAGGTTTTGGGAGGTTATTGAGAAAATAAAGGAAAATTTCTGGAGTTGAGCTGGAGGAGCAATAAGAATGTGGCCTCTGAAAGGAGATTCGAAGATGGAGTTGACAAAGGGAAGGAGAAGAAAGAATGTTTAGGGTTTAGTCAGTTTTCTTCTGAAAGTCCTATCTACTGTATATAGAATGGGTTTTCCAGGGGCCAGCAGGTGGCATGGTGGTAAAGGGCACAGGACTCCCACATGACAAACATGGTTTGAGTTTCGGACCTGGCTGTTTGCTTTTTCACTTTCCCTCACTCTCTTTTACTCTGTCCCTCTCTGGTCAAATTTGAATAAATAAATAAATAAATGTTTAAGAATGAAATAATTAAAAAAGAATGGTTTTTCCAGTTACCAGTACTTGAACCAGAAACCTGGGAGTTATCCTACTTTTTCTTCTATAGTTGATTATTCAGTCCTTTAAAACACCTTCATTGGGAGGCCAATAGATGACATAGTGGTTGCATCGCTGGACTCCCACATGGCCAACCAGGGTTTGAGTCCTGGACCTGGTGGCTTGAAATTCACATGGGGTGTGTGTGCACGCATGCCCAAGATCCTAGGAGGAAAATGGAGCACAAGGGATTGTGTCATGGCCATCCCCTCTGGGGAGTGATTTCTTGCTTTCCTTTTTAGTGTCTCTCTTTTCTCCCTGTAGCGAGGGCACATGCCCTATGTCAAAAATATCAAACAGCACAAAACAAAACACGTTCTGTATCTTAAATCTTTCCTCCTTTGCCTTCTCTGTCTCATCTGTGCTGGTTATTTTAGGTATGCATCTTTTCATGGAATATTACATTGTTTTTTTGTATCGCACTGGTATAGTACCCTTTGGGTGCTTCTACATCTTACTATATGCCCTTTTTAAATGATTTTATATTATTATTTATACGTTTGCCATAGGGCGCATGTATGTAGTCACCAGAGAGAAAAAGAGAGAAAGTGAGTGTAAGAAAACAAGCCACCAGGCCCAGGACTTGAATTGTAGTGGACCACATGTGAGTCCAGCACCCTGACAACCACACCACCTTCTAGCCCCAATATATGCCCTTTTAAAAATTCAAATCTGGGGGACCAGCAGTTAGCGTAATAGCTATGTTGAACTCCCATATAGTCAACCGCAGTTCGAGTCCTGGACCTGGTGGCTTAAACTCAAGTGGGCGCGTGTGCGTGCGTGCCCAAGATCCCAAGAGGAGAGTAGATGAGAAGGGATTGCAGGGTGGCCATCCCCCCTGGGGGGTGATTTCTTGCTTTCTGTCTCTCTGTCTCAGTCTTTCTGGCAAGCGCTCGTGCCCTATAGTAAAAACTTCTCCAAAAAAAAACAAACAAAAAAATTCAAATCTGTGCAATCTTGGTGGCACAGGTTGTCATGTGTAAGCTATATTGGAGGCCACATGGGTGTCCTTGAGACTAATTCCCCCAAGCCTACTCTGAGTCTAAGACCTGAAAGCATATGTGGGCATACCTAAGATAACTGGCCCTGGAAGAGGGGGATCTCAGCATGACAGAAACCCTATTAGCATGACAGAACTATTGGGGGTGTTATTCTCCACCGGCCTAGGTGCTCTGTCACAAATACAAAAAAACCCACAGTTATCTTTATGCTTTTTTTTTCCCCCCCAGGAACTCTTTTTTAGGACAGAATTATTTTATATAACTTTATTTATTTTAATTTGACCAGAGATGGGGGTGGAGAGAAAAAGTGAGAAGTCAGTCCACTAGGTCTGGGACTCTAACCACAGTTGGCCATGTGAGAGTTCAGTGCCCTTAACCACCATGCCACCTGCTGGTCCCAGAACTTTTTTGTTTTTTTAAGAATCATTTTGTTTAGCTTACTTACTTTATTTTTTCAGTTTGGCCAGAGAGAGAGAGAGGAAAAGAGAGAGAGAGAGATGGAAAATGAGAAGGCAAAAGCTGCCAGGTCTGGGACTTGAACCATGTTGAGCTGTGTGGGAGTTCAGCATCCTTAATCACCACTCCACCTGCCGGTCCCTCATTTTATTTTGTTTTATTTTTTGTTTATTTTATTTTATTTTTAAGTAAGGGCATGTAAGCTCACCAGAAAGAGAGAGAGGAAAAGTAAGACATAACCTATGTGTGTGTTGGGGGGATTATGGCCACTCCACGATCCCTTCTCCTCCAGTCTCTTCTTATGATTTTGGACACATGTATGCCTGGTGTGATTTTTTTCCAAGCCACCTGGTCTGGGGTGTCAGGGTTCATTCATGCGGGATTCTAGTGCCTTAAACACTAAAGTTCTAACACCCACCCCTCCCCCTGCTGTTTTAATTTCTTTGGGAGAGATTTTTGCTGTAGGGCGTGTGCACTTACCAGAGAGAGAAAGAAACAGAAAGAAAGCAAGAAATCACCCCTAGAGGTATGGTCACATTGCAATCCCTTCTCCTCCATTCTTTTCTTGAGATTTTTGAGCATGCTCACATTTGAGAGACGCCAGATTCAGGATTTGAATCTTGATCAGCCATGTGGGAGTCTAGCACCTTAACCACACTATGCGATCTGGTGCTTCCAAGCATGACTTTTTTTTTTTTTTTTTTGCCTTCGGGGTGGTGCACTTTGCGGATAGGGTGTGTGCACTTGCTGGAGAGAGAAACAGAGAGGGAAAGTGAGAAATCACTCCCTCACATGGGATGACTTTGCTCAGTTCCTTCTCCGTTTTTCTCTTGAGACTTTGGGCATGCCTGTTTTTTTTTTTTTTTCTCCCTCAAGTCACTGGGTCCAGGACTTGAACTGCAGAGTTGGCCATGTGGGATCTAGCACCTTAAGCCCTCACGCCACCTGCTGGCCCTAAAAGCATGATAATTTTTATGTTTTTAGTGATCAAACTGTGTCTTTTTGAAATATTAATTTATTAGTTTCCCAAATTATTAGCATATGTTTCACATCTACATTTTTGCCCTGTTCTCCTTTGAGTACTAACATATCGTCTGCAGTAGAATTCTGTTAGAACACTAGGGACCAACAGTTGGTAGAATGGCTATCGCTGAACTCCCATGTAGTAGACCGTGTTTCGAGTCCCAGACCTGGAGGTTTAAACTCAGGCCGGGCGCATGTGGAAGCGTGGCCAAGATCCTGAGAGGAGAATGGAGGAGGGGGGATTGTGGTATGGCCATCCCCCTTGGGGGTTGATTTCTCACTTTCTGTCTCTGTCTCTCTGGTGAGTGCATGCGCCCTATGGCAAAAACCTCTAAAAAAAAAATCAGTTACCAACTTGGATCTAATATGTTTACACTATAGGTACAGTAATAAGACACGTAAGATTTAATGTATAGAGCAAGTGAGTTAGAATACCATTCACTTGAGTGAGCTGTAGTTTGGAAGCTTAAGGGAGTTCAGATAAAAAAGAATGAATCAAGAATGAATCAGGCAGTGTCCAAGGTATATTAGTTTAGGGCTTGGATCTATGATACTGCCAATAACCTCAGATTTCTAGCCAGGCTCTGATTCCCCCCTCCACTTTAATCCAGCTGAAGTTTGTTGATATACTTGCTTTCATGTAACCTGTTTGATCATGTTTCTTCTCAACTTGAAAAATTTAAATTGTTTATGTTGCCAACACACATAGGCTTCATTTTGCTTGGGATAGGAGTTCTTTCATTCCTTCCCACTTGTTCCCCCCAACCTCCCCCAGTCATGTGTGTCATACATTACTGCTCATTGAAAATGCAGACCATTGCTAGGGGCTGGCAGGTGGCATGGCGGTTAAGGGCAATGGATTCTCACATGGCTGATTGTGGTTCGAGTCCCGGACCTAGTGGCTTGTTTTCTCACTTTCCTTCTCTGTCTCTCTGTCTCTCTCTCTGTCTCACTCTCTCTCTCACTCTGTCCGTCTTTGGTCAAATTTAAAAATAAATAAAGTTAAATAAAATGATTATTAAAAAAAAAAGAAAAGAAAATGTAGACCATTGATGTTTCTCTGTCTTACTCTCTCTCTCACTCTGTCCCTCTTTGGTCAAACTTAAAAATAAATAAATAAAGTTAAATAAAATGATTATTAAAAAAAAAAAAAGAAAATGTAGACCATTGATGTTACTGTGTTCTCCACGTTTTCCCAACCCTTGCCTTCCTCATGGGATCAAATTGGGTTCTCTTTTCCCTTCAGGTATACCTGACCAAATCCTATATTTTCTTGCAGACCTAGCCTTCCTCTTCAACATTATGATTGTCCAGATGGCATTTGAGTGTATTTGTTCATATAGATAGTAATCATATTGTATCCTGTAGAGTAAATTTATGGGTGGATTGTCTGAATTCACCTGGAAAGCAGTAAGCTCCTTTTCATTTTGTGTGTCACATATAGCACTACACAGAGAATTTGAAAAAAAATGTGTCCCACAGCTAATATGTTCTTATATTTTTAGACCTGAAAAATGTCTGAAAATTCCAGTGACAGTGATTCATCTTGTGGTTGGACTGTCATCAATCATGAGGTATGATTTTTTTTTTTAATACTCTTTATAAGGTAATTTATAACGTTAAAGTGTTAGGAGTGATATAGATTGTTCTTTGAAAAACAATATTTTTCTTTTTTTTCCTTCTCTTTTTTTAATGCCAAAAGTGCAAAAAGAGAGCATGCACACACACATTGCAGTCCTTCCCTGTGCCTGCATCCCCTGCGCCATCCAGTCAGGATCCTGGGCACGCATCTTTCCCACATGTTTTTCAAACTGATGGGTCTGGACTCAAAACCCCAGTTGGTAGGCCAGACTCATCTACATTTAAGGCAAGGTTCCGTCATGTACGTTCAAGCAGATGGTTCTCTTTGACATTTTCCCTCCCACATGTAACATCACTGCTGATAGTTCTCCATGGAATACCATCTTCTACATTATTGTACATAGTTTCCTTAGCTTTCAGACTTTAGGCAAACATTTATTAATATTTGGGGTTTATTAAGGGGTCAGGCCCTGTGCTTTACCAACATTCTCATATAATTTTAAACAATCCACTGTGTTTATAGATTTTCATTTTATAATTGAGGAAATGAAAGATTAGAGAGGTTAAGTAATTTGGTCAGTATTATGTAACTATAATAGAAAAAATATCTGGATTGGAACAGAGGAAGATGGTGCATGTGTTCCATTTATGTTGTTACATTAATGGAACTTGACAGGAGAGGGACTATAGCTAGAACCCTAATACAAACTGAATTTTACAATAGAAGAATGATGTACATGTAATGCATGCGGACTAGTATGTAATTGACATTTTCTCACATTGGTTTATATGTTCGTCTTAGAAAACTTGTGGATATCGATAGACAGAAATACTAAAATCATTTATACTTTGAGATTTTAATGAACTTATCTTCAGTTTTTCAGTTTGTTTTTAGGGTCTTGTAAGGTTTACTTGTTTTCCTTTATTAATCTATATATACTCACTCTCTATTTTACAACTACTTTGATAGTCTAAGGTTTAGACAATTTCTTAGCCACGTGTTCTAGGAAACATGGGCAAAAGAAAAGATTGCCTTTTCTGCATTAAAGTTTCAAAATTTCATGACAGCTGGACTTGTTGAGGTCCAACTGGTTTGTTTTCTCTTTTTAAATCATGAGTGACTTTTCTGTTTTTAACCTGTTTTCTACAAAGCTTAAACCAGCTCTCATAGCAGCAGCTTCTCTTTCAAGGATAATTAGGAGCAAGGCAGTTGTGGGAGTTTCACTTGTATGTCTGCTAGGTGGAGCAAGGTAGCAAACCTCTGGCACTTAGCCTAGTGACATGAGGGCTTTCTGTAGTAGACATCATGTCATTGAGTAAATCGTCTTCATACTTTTATCTCTCTTCCTCTATATCTAGTTGCCAAGTTCTACTCTCTCTTGGTAATATTCTTGTATGGGTATCCTTTTCTTTTCCTGGTACCACCCTTCTGATTCAAGCCCCAAGTGGTTTCCCTGGCAACTGATTTAACCCCAACTTTGCCTTTGCTTCTACCATTCTTCTGCTACTATAGGCAATGTTAAAGTCATAAATTTAGAATTCTCTTTAGGATTCATCTTAAAGGCCACTTCTTTCATGAATTCTTTTAATTTTTGCTGTTTTGAAGGGAAGGGAAGGGTATATCATGAATTAGGTATATCATTAGAAATAAGACCTTTAGATTCATGGATCAGTAAGCGATAGGAAAAGTACAGGCAACATGGGGAGAGACAAAATTGGCAGTTAACTTTATTTTGTTACTTAAGATGTGAAGAAAGGGACTAGCAGGTGGCTTGGTGGTTAAAAGCGCTGGACTCACACATAACTGACCGTGATTTGAGTCCCTGACCTGGTGGCTTGCTTTCTCACTTTCCTCCTCTCTCTGTCTCTCTCTGATCTAACTGGAAAATAATAGTAATAATAATAATCGAAGTTAAATAAAATAATTCTTGGGGAAAAAAAAAAAAGATGTGAGGGAGAAAAAAAGATGATCCACTATTTAATTAAAGAAAATACAATGTGACATAAAAATAGGACCCAGCAGGTGACATGGTAGTTAAAGGCACTGGGGGAAAAAAAAGGCAAAAATTACCTCAGAATAACAAATAGTATAAAATATTATAAGGAGGATATTTCGTTAAAGTAATGGGTTCGTTTAATCCACGTCCTACACAGTTTTAGTTTACATTCCCATAACAAATAGTTACCTGCAAGTGGCGATTTTCCGAACTCATTGTAAATTTGAATTTTTTGTGCTCTACAACATCTAATGAAGCGCCGTATCTAAGTGGTGACATGCATGGTAAGTAGAAGAAGGCCCAGCTGTTCTATAGATGTTGTTGCTTGGCAAACTGAGGCCACATGGGAGACCAAGGCTTGATTCTCAACCTACTTTTTTTTTTTTTTTTTTTTTTAAGAGAGATTTTTGCTATAGGGTGTATGTGTTTGCCAGAGAGACAGACAGCGAGAAATCACTCCCCAGGGGGATGGCCGTACCAAAGTCCCTTCTCTTCCATTCTTGAGTACATTGTGGTCTAGCGACGTGATCATTACCCTAGCGATGTGACCATTACCCGAGCGCTCAGCCTACTCTTAAAGAATCAGGTACAGTAGCATGCACTTGTAGTCCCAGCTGCTGAGGAGACTGAGGTGGGAGAGTTTGGGCCAGCATGGATGACAGGTGAGACCCTAAAAGAGACAGGTGTGGCATACACCTGTGGCCTGGATTGTGAAAGGGTGAGGCATTATCAAAACAAAACAAAAATATGTCCCTCCCTATACACAAAGAAAATGTGTTTTTTTTGTTCGTTTGTGTTTTTGGAGAGCTTTTTGCTATAGGGCGTGTGCGCTCCCCATACAGAGACAGAAAGCAAGGAATCACCCCCCAGGGGGGATGGTCACGCCGCAATCCCTTCTCCTCCATTCTCCTCTCGGGATCTTGGGCACGCACGCACACGCGCCTGGTGTGAGTTTTAAGCCACCGGGTCCGGGACACGAACTGCGGTAGACTACGTGGGAGTCCAGCGACATAGCCATTACGCTAACTGCTGGTCCCTCACAAAGAAAATGTTAAGTAGAAGGAAATTTTTAATAGGATTACTTTAATTTTATTCATCATTATTCATTTAAAAAAAATTGTCAGGAGAGAAGTGAGAAAGCAAGATGTCAGGCTAGGATGTGAACCATGGTCGGCCATGTGGGAGTCTAGCACCTTAACCATCATGCTAACTGCTGGTCCCAATAAGTTTTTTTTTTAAAGAATTATTTTTTATTTAATTTTATTCATTATTTAATTTATTTATTTGTTTTTGAATATACCAGAGAAAGAGAAGGAAAGTGAGAAAGCAAGCTTCTAGGTCCAGGTCTTGAACCATGGTCAGCCATATGGGAATCCAGCCGCTTTAACCATCATGCCACCTGTTGGCACTAGAGGGGAATTTTTTTTTAGAAAGAATTATTTTTAAAAATTTACTTATTATTACTATTTTAATTTTGCTGTAGGGCACCAGGGAGAGAGAGAGAGAGAAAGTGAGAAAGTAAGCCTTAGTGTCCAGGACTTGAACCACAGTCGGCCATGTGAGAGTCCATCACCTTAACCTCCATGCCACTTGCTTGCCCCAGTAGAAGGAAATTAATAGAAATAGCTAAGTATGGATAACTATCTTCTGGAATTCAGTTTTATTGCTTAGGCTCATAAAATAGAGCATTCTAAAGTCAGCAGGTGGCGAGGATTTTGAGGCATAGCACTCTCATACGGTTGACCCTAGTTTGAATCCCATACCCTTGGTAATCATGCTGGATGCATTGGCTCCTGTGCCTGAAGTGCTGAGAGGAGAATGGAGGAGAAGGGATTGCTGTGTGGTCATCCCCCTCTTTCTGTCTCTATCTAGTTTGCACCCTAGGGCAAAACCTAAGAAATCAAATAACAGAACTTTTTAATTTTGGGCTTAGAATCTAAACCCCTGACTCCATTTTACTGTTTCCATACCATAATCCTTATGGACTAAACTGATAAAAAGCCAATGGCTGTTCTTTGGAGTGTGGCAACATCTGGGACTTAGTAACAAAAGCATCTACATGCAGAGGAGTCCAGCTTTGTGCTGTTGGGCAAATGGCTAAATGATTGTCTCTTTTCTCTTCAGGGTTCTGATGTAGAGATGGTAAATTCTGCCACAGCCAGTGACAGCTGTGAGCTTACCCCAGAATGTTCATCTTTAGAGCAAGAGGAACTACAAGTATTACAAATGGAGCAAGGAGGTAAGCTCTTCGTGAATTCTGGGATTCTGTTTTTTAACTGAGTGGTATTCTTAATCTTGCCTACTTTCCAGGCAGGCCACCTTTCTGGATGATATAAGTGATCGGGTCACTGCAGAACTAGAACTTTAGTGCTGGTTAGGTGTCGGCGTCCGCCCCCAGGCTTGGGTCTGGCTGAATCATGATCAGAGGGCTGCTGGTGAGGAAGAGAAAGAGGACGAGAAAGAGAAAGCCCTCCATCTTGCCAGGACCTGGGAATTGGAAAGAATGAGACAAAGGGATAGAGTAGAAATGGACACAGGCAGCCTGAGCCTAAGTTGCCCAAGCAACTTGTCCCGCGCAGATGAACTGGACATCTTTATTTATAGTACAAGAAGACATTACACGTGTATGTTTCATGACACTTCATGGATTAGTTGCCAGGTTACAGACAATAAGAAGCAGTTAACAAATCTATAAGGGATTAGTCATACCCGGGCAAGGTGTATCCCTTGGTGGTAATCCCATCTAGAGTAAATCTCATCTTCCTTTCTAATGCAGAGAACTAGCTGTTAGGTGTGGGGAAGGAGCTAAAGAACTTCTCCATAAGGAGTGCACCACCACACCCAGAGAAGTCTAAAGAACCTTTCAGATGCAGGGCAGGGATTGGACTTTACTAATTGGGGTCAAGATGTTTCTTGAAGTCCATCAGATGTGTCTGTTGGAACGCCCCTAGTAATTTCCACCCTTGCTCTGTCTGCAGCCAAGGTCAGGGAAAGACAAGTCACAAGGTTCTGCCAAACCCTAAAAGAGCATGTGGTGTTTGCTCAGCGCATGTCCCCACACCTCAGACTCTCTCTCTTAAACGTGTCCCCACAGTTAGGTAGAATTTTAGTGTGTATGTAAGAAAGGACTCAGAACTTAGTTTTCACCAAACCACACGGGGGTGGGGGTGGGGGGGTTGTTTCCAGCTAAAGTATATATTTGGACCTCCAGATATACTTTGATATTACATATAAACAATAACTATTAAGTATGTGATATGTGGTTGAACATTAACGCCACAGTTTAATGCATATTTACTTGCCATTATTAGTGTTGCTTAAGACTAGTAATACACATATTTATCAATTCATCATAACAGATTTACTAAACTCTACTCCAGTTACCATCATGCTGTAGAGTGCTCTGCTTAGAATTTGGTAAAATGGCATTTGACGACTATTATATTGTATTAATGTTTTATATATTTTCTGTGGAATTTGATGTCCACATTATTTATATGGGTAAATATGACTCCCAAATAATTTCTGCCTACTCTTCATATTTAAATGACCTCCTAAACTTTTTTTTAAAAAATTGCAGTAAGAGGTAAAAACATTTTCTTCTCAGAAAGATAAAGTAGATGTGTCAAGGCCAGAAATAGAAGAGATTGTACGTGTTAATTTGTTTCCCCCAGCTTACATGATGATTACTATCTCTAGTCTCATTTGAGTAGTATGCTTCTCAATTTTTTGGATCAGGGATCATTTTGGGAATCTGAAAACTATGAATGGTGTCTCCCAATAAATGCATTTATCCATGAATGTCAAAAAGTTCCATACTTACTTGAGAGTTGTTTGGCCCAAGTCACCTTTGTTGAGAAGTCTTATCTCTGTTTTTTTTTTTTTTTTTGGTGGGGGGGAGGTTCTTGCTATAGGGCGTGTGCGCTCGCCAGAAAGACAGAGAGATAGAAAGCGAGAAATTACCCGCCAGGGAGGATGGCCACACCACAATCCCTTCTCCTCCATTCTCCTCTCGGGATCTTGGGCACACACACACACACAGACACACACGCGCGCGTGCCCGGCATGAGTTTAAGCCACCGGATCCGGGAATTGAACCGTGGTCAGCTACATGGGAGTTCAGCAACATAGCCATTATGCTAACTGCTGGTCCCAAGAAGTCTTATCTCTAAATTAAGTTAATATTCTTTTTTAAACTTTTAAAAAAGAATTATTTTTAATTTTATTACTCATTCATTTATTTTTTTTAAAATTTGACCAGAGAGAGAGAAAGTGAGAAAGCAAGCCACCAGGTCTGGGACACAACTGAGGTTGACCAGGTGGGAGTGTCCTATGCCCTAATCACCACACCACCTCCTGGTCCCCTAAATTAAGTTACTGTTCTATTAGGGGATTTGTAACACTTTAAAACAAACAAACACACAAACAAAAAAACGTGTTTAGAAAAAAATACTACTTGCTATTTGCCAGATGGCATATGCACCCAGATGTGAAAGAGAAAGCAGACATCCCTGTCGAGCATGGTAATGGTACAGTCCTTTGTCTTCCATTTTCCATCCTGTTCTGATTTTGGGTATGGTTGCACATTAGTCTGTTGTATTTCTCAAGCCACTAGGGTTAGGATTTGAACCACTATTGGCCATGTGAGATCCATCTTTTTTTTTTTTTAAAAAATTTGCTATGAGGGACACACGTTCACCAGGATGTGGGATGTGGGGGTGGGGGTGGTGGGAAGAGGTAGTAAAGTAAGAAAGCACCCCCAAAGGGGCGGTGGCCAGCCACACTGCAATCCATACTCTTTACTTGGGATTTTGGGCATGTGGGCACATGTGCCCTATGTGTTTTTCAGGCCGATGAGTCCAGGACTAGAACCATGCACTGGACAATTTAAAATCTAGCTGTCCACGGGACCAGCACTTAGTGTAATGGCTATGTCGCCGGACTCCCATGTAGTCGACTGCAGTTCACGTCCTGGACCCGGTGGCTTAAAACTCACACCGGGTGCGTGTGCGTGTGCGTGCGTACCCAAGATCCTGAGAGGAGAATGGAGGAGAAGGGATTGCGGCGTGGCCATCCCCCCTGCCGGGTGATTTCTCGCTTTCTGTCTCTCTGTCTCTGTCTGTCTGGCGAGCGCACTCGCCCTATAGCAAAAATCTCTTAAAAAAATATCTACGTCGCTGGGACCAACGATTGGCATAATGGCTATGTTGCTGAACTCCCATGTAGCCAACTGAGGTTCAAGTCCTGGACCTGGTGGCTTAAACTCAACGCTGGGTATGTGTCCGTGCCCAAGATCCCAAGAGGAGAATGGAGGAGAAGGGATTGCGGCATGGCCATCCCCACCCC